AGAGGTAATGGATATGTTAATTAGCTTAATTGTTCCACACTATATACATATATCAAAACAACTCATTATGTCCCATAAATACAATTATGATTTGTCAATTAAAAAGAGTAAAGGCTGATGGTACTTGCCATAGTCCCTTTTCCAGGTATACAACACCTATGTCATCTCTAACTTTCTTCAGTGTAAAAAGTGTGATATAAATGTGGGTTATTTTCAATCTGTACTTGAAGGCAGTTGACTAATAATGAATTCACACTCAAGAGTTGAACAATTGCTTCAGCTCCCCTTCTCTCATTTGTAGCAGACATTTCTAAACAAGGTCAGAAATGGGTTTCCAAAGAAAAAAACAGTGATCCATTAGTCTTGGGCATTAGCAATAAGCTCACTGGTAAAATGTATGGTACGCAGGATGTGGGTTGCCACAACTACTCATAGTCCTTCAAAACATAACTGCACAATAAATATGAGCCACAGAGGGCTCATAATAGTAAATGGTCTAGAAACCATATTAAAAAGTAAAAGCAAACAATTGAAATTTGTTTAAATAGTATGTATTTTAATCCAATATATAAAAATATTATTTTAACATTAATAAACTTGAAAAACTTGAGATTTTTTTTCCCACAAAGTGTATCAAATTGAGTCTTTGCTCCCATTTCCAGCATGGGGAACAGGAAATGCTTCTCTCTCTCTTTTCTCCCCCGACCCCACACCCTGTTCCTCTCCTAATGAACTTTACTGTTACTTTTACTAAAAAAAAATGCCAAATTGAGTGTATATTTTACATCACATCTCAATTAAGTCTAGTTACATTTTCTATATTCAACAGACACTACAGCTAGTGGCTTCATTGACAGTGCAGGTCCAAAATGTTTTGGAGACACTTCCTACTCCTGCATCAACACACCATAAGAACAAGTAAAAGTTCGATCCCCAAAGAGCATGTCAGAAGTGTTCTTGTTTTCTTACACCTATTCTCAAGAGAACAAAATAATGCCCTTTGAATATTGCTGTGTCTAAATTAAGTGAAACTGTTATGTAAGATGTGACTGGATTTTCTAAAAAAAAAAAGGGGGAACTGGGATTTCATCAAATTTAGTGAACAGGTTAAAAAATATCTATATGGTAGAATACTAAAATGCTTGCCTACCATGAACAAGGTCCGAGATTCAATCCCCAGCATGGAAAAAGCAAAAACCAAAACAACCCCCCCCAAAAGAATTGTAATTAATGACTGTTTGTGTCCTATAACTGTGAAGCTGTGCACACTATCTTTTTTTTTTTTGGTGGGACTGCAGTTTGAACTCAGGGCTTCACGTAGATGCTCTACGTGACTCAGCCTGAGTCACACATCCAGTCCATAACTGTGTATTTGTGTATGAGCATTATCTTCCCTGTCTGTATTGATTTCCCCACCAATAGTTTTAACTAGCTGGCCCACCACAACCCTAGAAATAGTCTGGTTCTCTTTATCCAGGGCCCCAAGATACACTCTCTGCTCAACTCCTGTATTCTGATGGTTAGGATTAGACTTCTCTACCTACTCAAGAATATGCATAAGAGGAAGCCAAATAAAAAATAATAGATGGGTTGGTGTTCTTCATGGAGCAGTTGCAAAGAGCTACAGAAGAGATGTGCCCTCACTCAGGAGATCTTTCTCTGCCTCTGAAGTCCAGAGCCATGGTCCAGATAGACACATTTTCCTGAATAGCAAATAGATTAACACTTCAGTTAAACACGAAATATTTCTTAGTTTTCTGGAGCCAATTTAATTTCTAGTTTTAGAAGTTGAGTGAATTAAAAATTAAAATACCTCAGGGACTGTGTTTATGTTCAGCATGAAACCAAAGTTGACCCTCTGATCAACTTTGACTTTCCCTGAAAATCTTTTGACTTTTTCCCTGAAAATACTTGAATCAACCTGTTTCCTATTGCACTAATTATCAAAAATTCTCAGAGGCTGCCTAAGGTCCTTTATGCCCCTTATTCCATACCTATATCTCTTTTGGGGTTTTGCTGTCTAATCAGGGCTGATCAACTTCACGTTTTCATTGCTTTCCTTCTTCTACTTCAAGGGAGTCTTTTTAATTTCCCAGATGTCCCACTGTCCCTGAACCCCATACCTTCCTAAAACTTGCTTCTACCTTGATCCTTCTCTGCCATAGTAGTCTTTAGGCTTTTGGAAATCAAATCCAGGAAGAGTTGAGAGATAGTTGTTTCTTTTACCTTATTGTAGTCCTTTCCTGTGGAAAGGAGCCCAGAATAGCCCAGCTCATTAAAAGAGTGAAGGGCAAATAAAAGTGCATCAGAGAAAATATATAAAATCATAAATTGGTTAATATAAATGTCAGTCTGTACTATTGACTGATAGCTGGAAGGATCAACATGGCAAGAGTTGGGAGGAAGAGGGTTGGTTAAACCTAGAGAGGGAAGGATGAACTTGGAGCCTGGTATCAAAACTGCTGTTTCTGATAGGTGATCCAGGCTTTGCAGTTCCCTGGGGCCATCTAATAATCCCATGCCTTGAAGGTAAACAAGCAATAGTCTAAACCACTGGAGAAATTCCAGTTTAGAGCCTCAAGAATTCCCCAAATCCTGCTCCATAATCTCTCCTCTTCCCAGCTGCCTCCCCATGTTAACTACTTGGTTAACTACTGCTGTTGACTGCCTCCTTCAAACTCACATTTTTAATGTATGCTGGTATGTCCACAGTCTTCCACACATCTCCACGCTTCCAGACTGTTCCCATTTGATTCTTTCCTCAGATGACAACCAGAGAACTCTAAAACTCAAGTATAAACTTGTTTCTTTTCTGCTCCAAATCTTTCCATAGCTGTCTATTGTACTTAGAACGCTGGCTATACTGTATTACATGGTTTTTAATTCTGTACATGACCTGCTCCTACTCATCCCCAGCTATGCCTGACTTCTTGGAAGTTGTCCCAATACATGCTGCTGTTCCAGTACAGTCCATCCTGGCTGTGCATATTTTGTCCTTGGCCTGCAGTGCCCTCTACTTGGTCCCTAGGACACACTGTCAAACAGAATTCAAGTTTCAACTTTTGGCCTTACTTAAGATAATCCTGTTCCCTCCTCCTGCCATTTCCTAGGCATGTGTCACTTTTATTAGGATCATTGGCTTACTTAACTCCACACTAAATTGCAGCCACCAAAATAGGAATAGTCTATCATCTCTGAATGTCCCATGCAAAGCACAAGACAGGGCACATAGCTATCACTAGACAATGTGTAATACTCCCCTGCTTGCCCCCTCTACAAGAGAGTAATCAGTTGTGGAATGTTTTTAAAAGTTGAAATAGTGTGGATATTTAGAGTCATATCTGGCTTAGCAATCTAGCTTTGGTGATTTGCTATAGGTGGGAGAAATAAGCACACTCTAGAATTGTTAGGAGTTAAATCCAAAATCTAGCCTTCACTGGGTGACTTCAGGCAAGTTTGTTGGCATCTTTCTGCTCTTATCTACATAAGTTTAAATGTAATTTCTATGTCATAGATTTTTTTCAACAATTTTTATTTTATCATCCAATTTAAGGTTGCTTTTTTTTTCTAATTAGAGCTCCTCCAAGATATTCATAAAATAGGAGATAGGCAATAAATGAAGTCAAAGAGACATTCTTACCTTTTTTTTTTTTTGGCAGATGTGGGGGGGGTCTGGTTGATAAGAAGTGCTAAGGAATACAGCTTACTCATAGACCTCCCATCAGTTATAAAGCTGGAATAACCTTAGGTTTCTGCTTTTCTTGCTTAATTGTCAGGCCCACTGGCTTCCTGGCCTGTGCACTCTCTCAGGGAGAGGTGTGAATATGAAGTGGGGTGATTTGATCAGGTACAAATAAAAAGAAAAAAGTTAAATGTAAGCTTTGTTTCCGTAGTTAAGCATTTCTTGTTTGTGGTAGAGGAATCCTGACCTATAGTGTAAAGAAAAGAAACAGGGGTACATCACTCTTTCTTTTCCCTGGACCTACTACTTCCTGAGAAGCCATCCCTCAAAGTCAAAGTGCTGCTGTAAATTTAGAAAACACTTTAGCCATGGAGTGATGCTGCTTGCCTAATCCCATTAGACAAGTCCCAGAAACCTTTACATAATTTAAATCTGGCTCTGTCAACATGGCACCACTCCTACAAGTCATTCCTTCTCCAAACTCAACTGAAAGCATAAAATATACACCAGTGTCCAGTAAAGTGAAAAGAACAAGTCACTGTGTGCACACACTGGAATGTGGCAAGTGGAGAAAGTGGCAAGCATGAAAGGTGGGTCTGCCTGCTCCATGCCTGGAGAGAAGCTACCCAAAAGCTTCCCTTTCTTGGGTCTGACAGGCTGAATCTTCAGTACTCATCTTTTACGGATTAAATTGGTATAAAGAAGGATGAGCTAACCCACCACCTCTTTTGGAAAAAGATTAAAACTTGGTTGAAAAAGTGATACAAGGGGAGTAGCAAACAAGGGTCCCCTCAAGAGGAGACCACTGATCCTCAAAGAAAAGCTAGGTTCAAGATCAAATTGCATCAAAAGCTCCTCCAAGACCTCATTGAGAAGCAAACCAACCAGAAATTGGAAATTCGTATCCCTTAGGGGCTAAAGAACGAGGAAGCACTTCTGAGAGCCACATAAAAGAAAGTCTAAGACTTAGGGAGAAATCTATTCCTTCTCCCAAAGATGCTGACTGCCTTCCTGCCATGGCTATTTCAGGGGAAAAAGTGGGAGGCAATGCCCAGACTGAGCTCACACCTGACACCAAGAGGAGTGGGTGGGGAGGACAGGGTTCAGTTCAAGTCTTATAGGTTTAGTTCCACACAGGCCAATTCTGCAGTTACTAGATGACACTTTAGTCTTCTACCTTCTTTGAGGACATAGATTAGGACCCACAGGGTGAATACCTAAAGCTTTTGCTTTAGACCTAGGGTATGTTTGATTTAGAAAATTGGAAAAGACCCAGGGCTCTTCACAGCAATTCTGAGCTCAGAGTACAGGGAAAGCACTATTTCTTGTGGGCACGATGTCTTCGGGAATGCCTTTGCTCCCAATTCCTTGGAGTTTTTGATTTTGCACAAATAGAAAATGAACGCACCAATGATCTAGAAGAATCTCTCCCAACATAACCCTGGGCAGGTGGGCAGGACTTCCCAAAACGAGACTGCTCTCTGCCTTCACTGGTCCAAGAACAGAAGTACAGTGAGCCTCCTCCATGGCCCCCAAACATAGTCTTTCTTGCAGAAATACTGGCCTTCCCCAAGGCAAAAGGTGAGCTCTGGCTCCTGCCTTTTCCAAAGGGAGAAGCAGTCCCACTCAGCACTGCCCCGTAGGTGGAGCTCATGTCTGGGGCAGTCACAATGACTTCATGCTTCCCTCAGTCCTTAGGGGTCACTAATCCCCCAAAGGCAAAAGGTCGTGGGGCTGTGCTGCCAAATTCTGAGCCTCAAGCCCACTCTGGTGGCTCTGGGTGACAACTCCAAAGCCAGTTGGACTTGCTTGACTAAAGGGAAAACTAGCTGGAGTGCTGCCAGAACCTGGCTGGGGTGTGAAAGGTGGAGGCTGAAAATGTTAGAACCCAAAAGGCTGACTAGGTGGCACTGCTGAGGACTGGCTTAGCTGCAGCTGGCTTTGGAGTTGGGGCTGCCTTTGCTGAGTTCCCCAAAAGGAAGGAGCTACTCAAACTTAGGGCAAGAGTTGGCTGGGGACCAAATGCAGGCTGGGGAGTGACTACTAGGGATAGTGGGAAAGGTGATTTTGAATTTGACCCCAAAGGGATTGTGAGTGCTGGGGTCAGGTTGGAGGTACTGTGCGACAATGTAGGCTGGCCTTTGGGTACTAGGACTGAGGCTGACAGAGTGCTTCTCATACCCCTAAAATTAACAGTGTTAGGGGATATCTGGCTAGCACTAGGAAGAACCTGGCTAAAGACAGTGACTGTGTGTACAGTAGGAATGGCAGGATGCTGATATGGTAGAAAAATGAAGCATGTGCCTGGGGAGAAAGCAGCCCTGAAGATGTGGATAGCCCCAAGCAGGGAAGTGTGGCAAGAGGAAGGGACAGAGCAAGTGTTGCCCATGGTGTTGGTAACATTCACTATGCTAAAATCCAGATGTGGCTTAACAGCAGACGTAGTGTACGTAGTGGCTGGTGTGGTAGACATGACCACAGAGGTGGCCTTGACTGGGCCACGGAAGAGATGAGTACATGGAGGAGAGGGCTGCCTGGGGGAGAAAGAAGCTATCTCTGGCATAGTTTTAAGTGGTTCTATGCTGCCAAAAATGTGCTTGAGGGTGGAAGTTAAGATTCCTGAAGTTGTGGAGAGGGAAGAGCTTGAAGACACCAAAGCTATGACTGAAATCCTAAAATACAAAGAGTCTTCAATTTCACAATTGTGCAAGGGCCCCAAAATAGGTTTTAATACAGGATGAACAGAAGTTGTAGTGGGAGGTGCAGGTGCAGGAAGATGGAGAGTAGAACTACTCATCACCCCAAACAAAGCACTTTGTATTGTGGGTACTGCAGGGATAATGACAGGTGGGCCTGGGGCATGGCAGACCTGTCAGCCTGAGGGGTTGAAGGTCACTGATCAGTGACTGGTGATGTGAGAGAGGTTGGGGTCAGAAGGATGAAAGTAGATGTGGGCTTTGAATCTGAAGAACTGCCTGGAAGGGGCTCTGACTGTGAGGACCCAAGTGGGTCCAGCAGGCTTGGTGTCTTCAAAGGTGAGTGGGCCACACTGGTTGCCTCTTCGGTAGAATGTGTGGAGGTCAGTGGACCTAGGGACTTTTGTGTTTTCTTCAAGCTTTCCAACTGAGGATTTGTATCAGTAGGTGTTGCTGTCTCAGAGGAAGGCAGAGTGAGAGATAGGGAAGACTGAATACCAGTCCAGGACTCAGGGATGGAGTCCCTGAGTATCCTCTCTGGTTTTGTTTCTCCACTGGAGACCAGCTTCCTTCCCCAAGGTTAAGATCTCATCAGAAAGCTCGGGAAGTGGGATCTTGGACAACAGGTCGGCAGGACTAGATAGCACCTGTGGAATCTTCTGCCCAGATCTATCAGATGATCCTGGGGATTGAATATCTGATAACAGTGGGACCGGAGAGTGAGAATGGTAAGCTTTTTCTTTCTTTTTAAACTGGCCATTTTAAACTCGTGTCTGGAAAGATGCACTGGGGAAACGTCTGTTCCAAAGCACTGAGATATCTCTGGAAGAGCCGGAAGAGCTGCTGATAGCATTTCTTTTGGCAATGAGAGGGCCTCTGCGTATTCTGGCCAAGTTGCTCATGGAGAAATAATTGGACCTCTTCAAACTGTGATCTGAACTCCAGGGGTGGAGGCTCTTTTTCAGCAGCCCTGGCCTGGGCACAAAAGAAACAAGGGCTCCATTTTTCATCAGGGGCTTAAAGGCAGATCTCCTGATCTCTGGACTTCTCTTACTGTCCAAGCCCTCTAGGAATAGTGGTTCTTTCAACGTCAGTCTCCCTTTCCTGCACTCTCTAAGGGTCCTCAGCACCTTCTCCTTTGCACACGGGTCTGATGGCTCCTCAGAAGAGGAAGTTCCCACAGAGTTAATCACATCTGCTGGGGAAAGGATGGGGTGCACTCTCTGCTCTGGAGAAGCGATCTTGACGGTCACCGGGCTCCATGTGGCTCTGGGATGGCGGAGAGACCAAATACTCCGCTTGAGGTAGCTTTCCCACCAATCTGAAGGAAGAGGCCCCATGATGGAATTCTGTGGCCTGTTCATGGGAAAGCGCCTCCAAGCCTCATTGACGAACGCAGCCGGATTGGCAGGATCCCAGTTTGGCGGCCTCCTGGCAGGTCTGTGCCGCGGGGCAGGGTGGACGCGGTGGACGTGCTGAACCCGATGGACTTGGCACAAGGGCCGGGCTGGCCGGCGGGTCTTGGGCCTCTCGGGCAAGTCGGTGGGCACCTGGGCTGGGGACGACCGCGAGTGTCTCGGCTTGCCCAGGAAACTGCCCATGAGGAACGATGAGACGCGGCGGGTGACTTCGAGAGGGTTTCGGCTTCTGCTGTTTGGGACGTCTGCGGTATCGGCCGAGTCCAAGCGTCCAGTGATCGAGTGACGGTTGGGACACGGGCGCGAGGGACTCAGAGCTCGACACCCTTCAGGACCCGCAGCAGCGAGGACAGGGGACACGCGGGGCCTCGGCAGTTGCGGTCGGCTTGCTCTGCTGTTTCGAGGCCCACGCGAGCGCTCGTACCTTTGCGTCACTCTCGGCTATTGCTGGTGAGAAGGCAACAAGGTTGCGAGGTGCCGTGCGCGGCGCGGAGACAGACTCCAGAGGAAGCGCACTGTCCCAGGCCACGCAATGCAACCGCAGCACCAGCCGGGACCGAGTGGCCCGGGCTCACCCAGTGGGACGGAGCAGGAATTGGATCCGACTACGGCGAGCCGGGAGGGTCCAGACGCTCGACCCCGACGCGGATCAGTTCCTCAGAGTCTGAGTTGGAAGCAACTGAGCGCTGTCTGGGTGAATGGAGGCGGCTCTCCCGGATGCACCGGACTAGGGATCTGGACAAACCTGGACGCACGGGGCGCGGACCAGATGGCATTCTTGCACTAGCAGGCGGGAAGGCTGGAAGCCGAATTTGCTGATTGAGGCTCCCTGAGTTTTTTTCCTATCACTTTTGCCAGAACTCCCAGTCATTGTCAGAGAAAACCGATTCAGATAGCAACTACCTCTGAGTTCCCTCAGTGCCTCACGGTGGCTGAATCAAAGTCACTTTCCAGTTATTCCCACTTTAAGCAGGCAGAGCAACTGTTATGCCAGAACGGAGGTGGGCAAATGGAAGATTACATCTACTGACTCGGAATCACAGCCTCCTTGGGCTCTGACTCAATCACTAGCTTAGGCCACTTCATGATCTCTTCGGTTCTGAGAAAGATACTGTTAAGAGAATAGAAAAGCAAGCCACAGACTGGGAGAAAATATTTGCAAAATATGTATCTGATCCAGGACTGGTAAAAAAAAATCTTGAATGTTAAATCTCACAATAACTTTAAAAAAATATGCAAAAGGTCTGAGCAGACATCTTGGCAAAGATAAATAAATGGAAAGTAGCATTTGAAATGATGTTCAACATCATCAGAGAATTACAAATTGAAACACCAGTGAGAGACTATGAACCCCTGTTATCATGACTAAAACTTAAAACAGTAACACCAAATGTCAAGGCGGGTGTGGAGCACCAATCCCTCCCGTTTGTCGCTGATGGGAATGCAGCTCGGTACATCCACTTTGAAGGACAAATGGCAATTTCTTACAAAGTTAAGCATAATTCTACCATACAATCCCACATTTTTACCCAAATGAGCTGACTAAACATCGCCACAAGAACCTGCACACAAATGTTTATAGAATTTTTATTCCTAATTGCCAAAAGTTGGAAGCAACTAAGACCTTCAATAGGTAATTGGATAAGCAAACTGTGATACATTTATCTTATCACTAAAAGAAATGTACTATCAAACCATGAAAAAAACAAGGAGAACCTTAAACCCATATTACTAAGTGAAGAAAGCCAGTCTGAAAAGGCCTCATATGATTCCAATTATATGGCAATCTGGAAAAGGCAAAACAATTGGGACAGTAAAAGACCAGCTGTAGCAGGAAGGGGTCCTAGAAGGCTGTAGGACATCATTAAACATAACCAATACACACCTAATGGAAGTACCAGGAGAAGAGAGAGAACGCAGGGGAAAAAAAATCAGAGACCTGAAAACCTACCATTCTAATAAAAAATGTTTTACACATTCAGGAAGCTTCATGAATTCCACCTCACACTGAAAGTGCCCAAAGCGAAAGGTAAGGAGAAAATCTTGAAAGCACCAAAAGAAAAATAGTTCATCAATTTCAGGGGAACTCCAATGACATTAAAGACTGACTTCCATGAAGCAATGGAGATCAGAAGGCAATGGGAGAAGATATTCGAAATGTTCAAAGAAAAATATTGTCAGCTCCAAATTCTTTATCTAGAAAAGCTATCTTTTAAAAATAAAATTAAAATAAGGACATTGCCACACAAACAAAAACTGAAGGAGTTTGTCATTAGCAACCTGCCATACAAGGAATACTAAGGGAAGTTTTTCATACTAAAGGTGACATATGCTAATTTAAATACATATACATTTTTTAAAAGAGCAGGGGTAAAGGTATATAATTAGGGAAGACAGTATAAAAGCATATTTAATCTTTTAACTGTCTTAAAAAGCAATAAAAAACAGTATGTATATAATGTATTTGCCATATAGACATATAATATATTTGCTATAACAGCACAAAGGAGCCAGGCAGAAGAAATCTGTACTGGGTTAAAGAAATGATGCTTGATGCTAACTTGAATCCACAAGAACAAATAAAATCAGAAACAATAAATGAGAAAGTTAACAAAAAATAAGCTTTATGAATATTTCTTCCCTTTTCTTCTCAGCTTCTCCTTTTTTTAAAAAAAATTTACTTTCTGGCAGTACTGGGGTTTGAACTCAGGGTTTAGGCACTCTACCGCTTGAGCCAGTCTGCTAGACTTCTCAGCTTTTTTAAAACACATAAAATAAAGTAATCATTATAATAATGTAACGTTGGATTTGTAATATTTATAGATATAATATGTATAACAATATGACAAAAGGGTGAGAAATAAAATGATATAGGAGTGAGTGCTTATATCTCATGGGAATTAAGTTAGTATAAATCTGAAGGTGTTCTGATAAATATATGACAAGTCCTAAAGCAACTTCTAAAGAAATAACTTGGGCAGGGCATGGTGGTGCATGTACCCATGGTGCACTCATGGGTTGAGAGGCAGAAGGATCAAGAGTTAGAGGCCAACCTGGGTTACATAGAGAAATTGTCTCAAAAAGAAATCCACTCAAAAGAAATAGTGGAAAATGATTTAAAAATTAAATGTTACATTATAAAGTATTTGCTTAATGATGAAAGGAAAATAGTAGGAATACAAGAAAGAAAAAGACATAGATAAAAATAAGTGAAATGACAGACACATCCAAATATGTCAGTAATAGCATGAATATGAGTGAATTAAGAAATTCAGTCAAAAGACAGAGACTGTCAAGGTGGACATAAAAACAATATTCAACAATATGCTGTCTAAAGGAGGCACTTGAGATTCAAAGATAATCTCAGGTTGAAAGTAAAAGAATGGAGAAGATACACTTTGTGAACTCCATCTAAAATAAAGCTGTAATGGCTATACTAAGGAACAAAGTAGACTTTCAAACAAATAATGTTACTATGAATAAATAGGGACAGGAGAACTACTGCACCCAGAAGATACAAATTCTAAACATCCATGTACCTAATAAGAGAGCATCAATAGATACGAAGCAGTTCTAGGAGGTCACACTCTGACTGAGAGGCGGTCACTGTGGCATATCTATCCAGTCCATGCAGGCTGTAGGAGTCAGTGGGGTGAATCAGGTAGGTTGTGCCATGTTCCACAGGGGGTGGTCACCAGGAGGTGGTTGCATAAGGCAGATGTCTGGTACATTGTAAAAACTGAAAAAGAAGGGAGGAAAGAGGTGACTTAAAGGAATGTAACAGAGGTGATGAGCGTGTTCAAAGTACACTGTAGACATCTATGGAACCATCACATTGAAACCTCCTGTACTACCAATGTATCCCATTAAAAATCCAATTCTTTGCTTCTCTTTGCTGTTTCCTTTCTGGGTAACCTTTACTTCAGTACTTTCATAACTTCTCACGTTCTTCCTCTGTCTTCTATTATATTGATCTTTACCACACATTTATTTCACATTTGCAGTACTTTGCATCCTTTCCAGATTTTTTAAAGTTTTCTTTATTCTTTCTTATAGTCATTCTATATAAAGCTCTTCTTTCCATCATTAAATCTCTAACATCTTCCAGGTGCTTTTGCATGTCTCAGATTTCAGAAATGGGTCTGTATGACTTTTATTCTTTTTCCTTCTGAAAGTTTTTTTAACTTTATTATTTTATTTTTTTACTAAAAGCTCCAATTTCTACCATTCTCTCTTCCTTATTCTGTATCTTCTTTCAGATAGTTTTTTGGGGGCTGGTACTGTCACTCAATAGTAGAGTATTTGCTTAGCATGTGAGAGGCCCAGACTTTGATCTTAGCATTGAAAAAAACAGTGCTGTTTCTCTTATAATTGTAGTGTCTATTTCTTACTGTGCACTCTTCTTTCACTGATTTACATATTTTAATTTTTCTGTCTTCATTCTTCTTCCTCTTTTCACTGCTACCCTTCATTTTTCTCTATTCCTTCTTTATTTGTATTAATCTTATTTTTTTTGACACTGGGATTTGAACTCAGGGCCTAGCACTTGCTAGGCAGATGCTCTACCACTTGAACATTATTTCCAGTTTTATTTTACTACTGTTTTAAATTGTTCATTTAGTTTTTAATGTCAATTTATAAGTATCTAACAATTTAGGTATTCTTTTTATTCTGTATTTCTTCTCTTTGACCTTTGCCTAATTTTTCTTTCATTTTTATATGCTTAGTTACTTTACTTTCTTCATCCCAAGCTTTGGATTTTACAGAGCATGGTGTGAATAAAATATAGACTTGTTTATACATTTGGTTTTCTTTCCTTTTTCAATGCATATCTAAAGGTTAATTTGTTACCTTTCGCTTCTATTCAAGCACTTTTCCTGATTTGCCTATTAGTTGCTATTTATTCAAATATAGTCACAATCTTTCTATATTTTAGGCATTATCCATGATTTATCTTTCAATAATTTAGTCTTTAAATTTTTTTCTTTCTTAATATTTCCCTTTTGTGATTTTCTTTTTTGATACTAACTCTTCATTTTTATTTTTTCTATGCCTACTTATCTTTTTTATCTGTATACTTTTCATTGCTTATTGTACTTGACATATTTTTAATCTTTCCTCCACTTGATTCAATATACTCTATGAACTTTTTTCTCATCTTATTCATCCTGGTTTTCTTCTTT